TTGGTAAAGATTTTGACCCCTTTTTAAATATTGGCACCACAATCCAGTGGTACTATGCCAGTCATTAAAGAGTCCCTAAAAATTAGAAACAATGGCTTTGAAATGACAGAGCTCAATTCTTTAAGGACCCGTGGGTGTATGCCATCCAGTCCAGGTGCTTTATTCACCTTTATTCTGTCTAAATATTTTTGGATCATATCAATTGTGAGCCAATGTGGATCATTTGGAGCTATGTCAATACCATGTCCATTAAGGAAAAGAGCTCCACCATGCTCCTTTGTATACACAGAGCTGAAGAAGGTATTTAATACATTTGCCTTCTCTTTGTCCCCAGTCACCCACTCTAGATTATTTTGTAAAGGGCCTACATGCTCGGACCGGACTTTTTTATTATTAATATATTTGAAGAATTTTTTGGGGTTGGTCCTGCTATCTTTTTCAATCTGATGTCCGTTTCCAATTTTTGCGGTCTTTGTTTTCTTTTTGCATATTCTGTTATATTCTTTGTAATGGTAAACGATGATAGCGTTCCTTCATTTTTATATTTAATAAAAGCACTTTTCTTATTATCTATAGCTTTTTAAAACTTTGGCCATAAGCCACATAGGTTTGATTTTTAGCCTTTTAAATTTGTTGCCCATGGGAATATATTTTGCAGTGTGTTTTTTGAAGAACTCCAATTTCTGTGTTGTGTTCATTGATGCCAATATTCCCTCCCAGTCTAAATCTTGGAGAGAAGCTCTCAGCCTTGGAAAATTAGCTCTCTTAAAAGTGAGCGTTTTTATTTTTCCCGTATGTACTTGCTGTTTACAGCTAATAATAAATTAAATTATGTTATGGTCAATGCTACCCAGGTGTTCTTTTATATGGACATTCATAATAAGCTCTGCATGGTTTGAGATTACCAGGTCCAGCAGAACATCGTTAGTAGTAGCCTCTATGAACTGTACCATAAAATTGTCCTGTAGTAGGTTTAAAAATGTTTGCCCTTTAACTGTCCCTGCAGTACCATTACTCCAGTCAATTTCCGGGTAGTGAAAATCCCCCATTATTATCACTGTCCTAGCCTTTGCAGCCCTTTCGATCTGTGCAAGGAGCTGAGGCTCCACCTCCTCATTAACACTGGGAGGCCTATAACAAACTCCAATGATTACCTTTGTAGTATGCACCCCCATGTGCAGTTCCACTCATAATACTTCAGCCTCATCATACTCTCCATCAACTAGGTCCTCTTTCACACTCGCTCTGAGATCACTTCTGATAGAGACAGACACCACCACCTTTCCTATTTACTCTGTCTCTCCAAAAGAGAACATATCCAGGAATATTAATGGTCATGTGAAGAATAAAGCCAAGATTCAGCAATACCAAATAAATCATAGTTCTCTTCATGCACCAAAGCTTCCAACTCACCTATTTTGAGTGGCAGACTTCTGGCATTGGTGAACAAACACTTTAATTCATTGACACCTTGTATACACATATTTTGCATATTTTTTATTTTCATACAAATGGTACCAATTCCACTGGTTGTTTGTAACATGGGAACCTTCTTATCACCTGCCATATCCTTCCCACCATCTTTCCCCATTCCACTCACCAATAAGTACTGACCCCTGTCTGATCTGTCTACCCCGTTATAATCTAATTCTCCTTCCCCCCTCGATCCTAGTTTAAATACTCCTCCAGCCTTCCCATAAACCTCTCCCCCAGCACAGCAAACCCCCTTCCATTTAGGTGCAAACCATCTCCAGCATATAGGTTGCACCCCAATGAAAAGTCAGTCCAGTGCTTTCCTCTTACACTAGGTCTTCAGCCATGCATTGAGTTCTCTAAGCTCCCCCTGCCTTTCCTGAGTTGAGCATTGCAAAGGTAATATTTCAAAGAATATCACCTTGGAGGTCTTTCCCTTCAACTTGCAGCCTAGTTCTTTAAATTGATTCTTAAGGAGCCTCCACCTTCCATGTATTCTCTCACTGGTTCCAACATGGACCAAGACAGCTGGGTTATGTCCAGCCCCTCCCCGTAATTTATCAACCGGAGACAGCGAACCATTCGGTTGAGGCGATCCTGGCGACAAATTATTCTATCAGTCCTATTGGTTAGAGAATCCCCTACTACCACCAGCTGTCTAGGCCTTCCTGCACTACCCTCACCACCCCTCCCAGATGGTCTGCTCTCCCGGCTGTTAGGGATAGTAGTAACATCCAGGGCTGCAACCCCTGAGCTTGCCACCCCTGCATCTTCATGCAACTTGGCAAATCTGTTTGGGCGCACAAACCCAGGGCCAGCCTTCCTTTTCTGTGAGCCCCTACCACTCCCTCTCATTACAGTAACCCATCTTCCTACCTGATAATCCTGATTAGCCCCTCCGCCCCCCACATCAATCCCATTAGCTACCTGCTCAGAAAGCAAAAGACCCCTTTCAAGGTTGTCGGTTCTGCCCAGTGTTGCAACTTACTCCTCCATTTCTCTAATGCGAGTTTCCAGAAGGGCAATGCGCTCACATCTGTCGCAGCGGTATCCATCCTATAGCTGTTGCTCCATTGCTGCATACATGCTAGTACACATTATCCCAGTTACAATATGAAAAACAAATATCGGTTGTCACTTACAGGTTAGTAGACTCTTGTTATAATCTCCTGTTTTCCACTTCGGTTTTTTAACTCCACTTATTAAATGTCCACTTTGGCAAAGGTCCAGCAAGCAAAATATAGGCAAGCTCAAAAATTAACAAGCTCAGAGTGAGCTCTATAGCAAGTTATTTAGGACCTGTATCACCTGTGACCAATTAACCCCTCCCCTTAATTAGCAGACTGAAGGAAGACAAGGAAAGGAAGGGAAAAAATGCAATTTGAAAAGTGACAGAAAAAGTGATTTAAAAAGTAAAAGATTTTAGCAAGACCCAAAGAAGAAAATAAAACAACTACAAGCACAAGCAATCACCAGCAGTCAAAACTAAAACTTTTTCACCCTCCACTCAAACTTCCCACTCTTTTTAGCTATCAGCCAGCAAAAAATGCCATTGTATCACATAAAAAATTGTAACACACACCATTTTATTGTCTAGGGCCTCTGCTTTAAAAAATATATAATGTTTGGGGGTTCAAAGTAATTTTCTAGCAAAAAAAAACATTTTTTTTCATGTAAACAGAAAGTGTCAGAAAAGGCTTGGACTTCAAGTGGTTAGAAGAGTGGTTGATGTGTGGCATAACCTTCTAATGTTGGCCCTGAAATGCCAAGATAGTTGAAGCAACCTCCCAAATGACTCCTTTTTGGAAAGTAAACACTCCAAGGTATTTGCTAACGGGTATGGTGAGTATTTTGTAGATCTCATTTGTTGCCACAGGTTTTTGGAAAATGAATAAAGAAAATGAAAATGTATTCTTTCTTTTGTTTTTCAAAACCTTGTGACAAAAATTATATCTGCAAAATACTCACCATACCTCTTATCAAATTCCTTGGGGTGTCTACTTTCAAAAAGGGATCATTTTGGGAGGGGGGGGAGTTGTACTATCCTGGCATTTAAGGGCCTCCAAAACTGTGATAGGTAGTAAGGAAGTGACGTGAGGAAATATGCCCTTTAAAAACCTGAAGGTGGTCATTGGATTTTGGGGGCCTGTATGTGGCTAGGCTGCCAAAAAGCCTCTCACATGTGGTATTCCCATACTCAGGAGAAGTAGCAGAATGTATGTTGGAGTGTCTTTCCACATATACCCATGGCATGTGTGAGCAATATATTATTTAATTGGAAACTTTGTGTAAAAAAAAAAAAACATTTATGGCATAAAATAAAATCTGCCATGGTTTTAACATGCCTTTCAGCAGATTTCATGTGGTGTCTACTTTCCAAAAAGGGGTAATTTGGGTGTGTGTGTGGGGGGGGGGGGGTTGTACTGCCCTGGTACGTTATCACCTCAAGAAATGTGATAGGCAGTCAAAAAGTAGAAGCTGTGTAAATTCCGATATACATAACATAGTTTGTAGACGCTATAACACACAAACCAATTAATATGCACGTATTGGGATTTTTGTTACCAAAGACATGTAGCAAAATATATTTTGGCTTAAATTTATGAATAAATTTGAGTTTATTGATATTTTTTATAACAGAAATTAGAAAATATTGTTTTATTTTTTATTTTTGGTCTTTTTTTATTTTTATCACAAAAAAATAAAAAAAAACAGTGGTGATGAAATACCACCAAAAGAAAGCTCTATTTGTGTGAAACATTTTCGTTTGGGTACAGTGTCTCATGACCACACAATTAGGAGCTGAAATAGCACAGTGCTCTATAGCAAAAAATAACCTGATCAGGAAGGGGGGAAAGCCTTCCTGGGCTGAAGTGGTTAAAGTATCAGTATTATGAAGTTTCCCACAACTGGCAACGAGGTTCAAACTGCCTTAAAAATCTAAAACTTGATGGTAAAAAATCAGGCAGAAAGGGAAGAACTGAGCAGCACAGATGTGGGGATCTGACCTATACACCTCACTTTGGAATCTGACTTTGGTGAATAACATTGAAATCAGATCAAGAAAACTGCTTGAACTTTCCTACTTTAGCCAACTTTCAATGATTCCTAGAAAGTATAAGCAGATCACCGACTGGTTTCATTTGTAGCCTGAAACACCTCTTAAATCATCCAGCAACCAAAAAAACAGGTACAGTGTAGTTATAAACTAAGTATGTTTTTCACAGATTTAATTTTTTTGATGAAAGTTTGCTTAGCTGGTGTTAATTTCCCAACATAAAACCTTTTGGCAGTTTTGTTTAGTAGCATATTTATGTTTTACTGACTGAGAAGTCTGTCTAGCTCAGGAGTTTTAATAATGAAGTGACCTGTGATCTTTTATCCATAAAACCTGAAAGAACAATTGAACTTCCAGTAAGTTTATTTTATTCTTGAAGTAAACCCAAAAACTACGCATTGTATGTCAAAATATATTCTGTGTACAATTGAAAAAAGTTTTTCTTTTACCAGATGCCATGAAACTAATATGTCACTATTATTTTACACAGAAGGAAACACCTCTTGCCAATGCTGCTTTCTGGGCTGCTCGGAAAGGAAACCTGGCACTTCTCCAGCTGTTGTTAAACAGCGGCCGAGTCGATGTGGACTGCAGAGACAGTGTATGCCCTTCATTTGTGTATGCCAAGAATTCCAGATCCCTATCTGCTTCATCAATGTGGCATAGTGGCCAGACAACGAGTCTGTTCTTATTCTTCCAGTGTCAGTACTTTAGAATGGTTAACAAGGCACTAGAATGCAGTAATGGGTTTGTGGTTTATGTGTTAAGCAAGGAGCAATCTCTAAACCAAATATCAAATAAAAGCATTGCGTAGTTGTTCAGAAAGTGCCTTATAGTTTTCCAAAGCAGTAAATATTAGAAAGTTAAAATCTGCAATTAATTTAACCTATAAGAAATGCTCATCCAGACACTGTTATACAAAAAAAGTCACAGCTACACTGTAATTATAATAAAGGATATATCTTGAAACAGGGTCGGACTGACCATTTGGAAACTCGGGCACTGCCCGAGGGCCTGGGGTCAGTAGGGGGCCCCATGAGATGCCCCTGGTACCTTTTTCATAGGCTTTTTTGAGTTTGGGCAAGGACACAGGGGCCCCATGATCCCCTATTGCCCGGGGGCCCCATGAGTTGTCAGTCTGCCCCTGCTTGAAGGTCCCATACCACTTTGCCAAATACTGCAGTTTGAAAAGGTGTCTACTTTGTCCTTAATAAACAGTCAGATTACTCTGATATTGTAACCTGTACTTATTGTGACATAGAATGTGAGGACCCCTGTACAAAAAAATTATAAGCTTGTGCTGATTTTACACAGCAAATAAATTTATGTGCATTTCTCCAGGTCAACTGGCCATTTTCCCTCCATGATGGAAACTTGCAGGAAGAGCCACTTTGTATATGCAAGGCCTTCCTAGATGCAGTTGATTATTTTGTTTCCAAACCACTCCCACTCCCCGTTTATATCAACAAAATCATGTACTGACATCCAGGCCCAGACTGGGACAAATAATAGGCCTGGGCATTTTGGACTGAGCAGTCCCAAGCCCAGGGACCCTTTCCTCGGAGTCCGGTGGTGGAAGGCCAGGGCCTGGTCGCAAGAGTGACCTTTGCGACCTTGAGAGTTCTGCCACTAGTGTCAGTAGGTGTGATGAAGAGCCGAATTATTATGTTATTTCTGTGTTTTGTTGAAATCAACAAGTGCGTCAAACAGGCAGCTTGTCCTGTGCCCCGCAGGGGGTGGGAGAGGAGGTTGATCTCAGCAAGGAGCACAGACAGCATGGTGTCCTGTGGCTGTGAAAAGCCAGATGTGCCGGCATCGAGGGCTTGAGGCTTGGTCAAATTGAAAGGACCCTATAATGTCCCTATGGGGGGAAAATGGGCAGAGCTTGAGTCAGGATGGACAGAGCAGCTCATGGCTGCAGGCCTCACTGGGAGATGCATTGAACTGTGCTTTGCTTTGTGCACTGATGGGACTTGTGGTTCTACATTGCCTGCATGGTCTTGAAGCTGCGGCCAGGACACACAGCCCTCCGAAGACCCATGAGGAGTTGTTGCCAATCTGCTTAGACTTCCTTTACAGGGGCCACTGCTGGCTGGTGAGTCCCTGAATTGCTACCTTGTGTCAAGGACGTAACCCTCTCTGCTCTGCCTCCCTGCTGTGTGCCACCCCTTTTGCTGAGGATCCAACCTGGGCTTAATCCTTGCCCGCCAGAGTTCTGCCTCCCTGTTGTGTGCCACTTGGACTTAACCCATTGCCTGCCAGAGACTGCCGCCCTGTTGTGTGCCTCTTAGACGTAATCCATTGCCTGCCAGTCTGCCGCCCTGTTGTGTGCCACTCAGGCTTAACCCATTGCCTGCCAGAGACTGCCGCCCTGTTGTGTGCCACTCAAACTTAACCCATTACCTGCCAGAGACTGCCACCCTGTTGTGTGCCACTCGGACTTAACCCATTGCCTGCCATAGTCTGCCATCCTGTCGTGGGCGCAGACGGTGCTACAGACTTAACTTTTGTTTTGCCAGAATCTTGTTATACTCAACGTGTGCCCTCCAAACCACTCGATAAAAGCCTTGTGTGTCCCACTGCTCTCCACATGGGTTCTGTTCCACCCACCCCTCCATCACAAACTGGTTGGCAGCGGTGGGATCAGAACACTGAAGAGGATGATGGAGAGCAACAGCCCCCTAACCCTGAACCTAACCCAGGGTAGTGAATACAGGAATTGGACTGTTGCAAGTTTGCAAGAAAAGGATCAAGAACTAGGCCTTACCTGCAGGGGCCTGTCCAAAGATGAACTGGTCACTGCTATTGAGGAAGCCAGCCTTCAAAGGGCAGCCGGCATGGACGCATCACAGCCCAAGAATATATTTCCTGGGGCAGATGGCCCAAGCCCCAGGATCTTGGATCACTTGGTATGAGGAGGAGATGGCCATCCTTGGTCCCGAAGCCACCTTGGACAAACGAAGTTTCAGGGGATGTGGAGGGATTTTTCCAAGATTTTGAACATTTAAGTAAATTGCTGGAAGTGCCTTGCATGGACTGGGTGCGCCACCTGATAGGCTTGCTGGAAGGGGGCGCTGCCACTGCATACTGCACAATGGACTCCCGATGGAATTGAGACGATGATATGGTCAAACAGACTGTGCTTCAATACTATGCTGTGACCCTGGAAACCTACAGGGTTCAGTTTCGAGACTTGTCCTGTAATTCAGAGCTCTCCTTCAAGATGTGTGCTCACAAAATGTCACAGGCCTGTCGACGCTGGCTGGGGGGCAAACAGGCACTCTCTGTTGGGTGTATTATCCAGACTTTCCTGAAGGAGCAATTTTATGCCAAGTGTCCCTCCAAGGTCAGGGAGTGAGTGAAGGCGAGAAACCCAGCAACCCTAGAGAAGGCTGCCGCACTAGCTGATGAAGTGCTCACAATTAAACCAGCCAGGACAGTGAGTGTTGCCTGTCCCCTGAAAGGTCATGTCACCCCCTCACCTTATCTAAGTCCTACGACCTCTGTGATTACCACCCTCATATCTATGACCCAGCCCTCCAGGGTCACTGTGGAACGCTGGTGTTATGAATGCGGATAACCTGGGCATTTTAAGGCTAGATGTCCAAGGAACACCCACCCTCCCCAGACCCAAACCCCTCACCCTGATCACGATGTGCAGCTGGTCCCAGGAGGAAAGAGCCTCTCACCATTCTAAAGTGAGTGGATGCCTCCAACAGCAACCAACACCCCTCAAGGAGTCTACAGAGTTCGTCCACTTACTCCAAGCTACCCCGGAAGAAGAGGCAGCAGCATTTGCAGGAGGTTTCCATAGATGGCAGAAAGGTTATTGGTTTCCGTGACCCAGGTGCCTTCCTGACGATTGTTGATCCCTATGTATTAAATCCTGCAGTGATCAAAGAAGACCCTGGTTTTTCTATTGAACTAGCAGGGGGTGCCAGGAAACATACCCCGAGGGTTATAGTTCACCTGGATTAAGGTTTTGGGGAAAAACTTTGTTCGATTTGGGTAATGCCAGGCTTACCTGCTGACATTCTGCTGAGGAATGATGTTGGAGAACTTGATTGTCAATTTCTGGGGAGTGTGACCCAGAGCCACTCTCTGGAAGTGGAGCAGAAGACTAGAACAGAATTAAGGCCAGACACACATTTATCAGGGACATGCCCTGTTAAGGCCTCATGTAACCCCTGCCAAAAGCCCAATGTTTCAGGGAGCCTCCCTTGGTTCTCAAAACAGGGGAGAGATACAGGAAGGGCACACCAGCCCCAATGTTACACTTGCAAACAGAGGGGGGCCCATGCAGCCCAATTGTCCCAGGAGATATAGGAAGAACTCCACAGCCTCACTTTGGTGGAGAGATAATGTCAGTAGACCGAGTTATCCTTACAGTGGTTCAAATGTGCCCATAGGCCAGTGTTTCTCAACTCCAGTCCTCATGGACCCTCAACAGGTCATGTTTTCAGGATTTCGATTATTTTGCACAGGTGATTTGATCAGTTTCACTGCCTTAGTAATTACCACAGCTGTTTCATCTGAGGGAAATCCTGAAAACATGACCTGTTGGGGGTCCATGAGGACTGGAGTTGAGAAACACTGCCATAGGCCAACATTCTCCATACACCCACATGATGTCCTGCTGGAATGAACTTCATTACACCCTTGACCATCAGATAACAAGCAATTATTTGAACACTTAGGTGGTTCGGCTGGGGAATTGTTACATGTACCTTGCACAAGGCCTGTTAAGGCCTCCTGCATGTACATGTTCTGAAAAAGGGAGAGGGGCTGTGACAGAGAGCCAAAATATTTTTTTATTTCTGTGTTGTTTGTTGAAATCAACAAGTGTCAAACAGTCAGCTTGTCTGCTTAGTTAAATCTTGGGAGTTCCTGTGCCCCGCAGGGGGTGGGAGAGGAGGTTGATCTCAGCAAGGAGCACAGACAGCATGGTGTCCTGTGGCTGTGAAGATCCAGATGTGTCGGCACCGGGGCTTGAGGCTTGGTCAAATTGAAAGGACCCTATAATGTCCCTATGGGGGGGAGAATGAGCAGAGCTTGAGTCAGGATGGACAGAGCAGCTCATAGCTGCAGGCCTCACTAGGAGATGCATTGAACTGTGCTTTGCTTTGTGCACTGATAGGTCTTGTGGTTATACATTGCCTGTGTGGTCTTGAAGCTGCGGCCAAGACACACAGTCCTCCGAAGACCCGTGAGGAGTTGGTGCCTATCTGCTTAGACTTCCTCTGCTGGGGCCACTGCTGGCTTTTGAGTCCCTGAATTCCTACCCTGTGCCAAGGACTTAACCCTCTCTGCTCTGCCTCCCTGCTGTGTGCCACCCCTTTTGCTGAGGATCCAACCTGGGCTTAATCCTTGCCCGCTAGAGTTCTGCCTCCCTGTTGTGTGCCACTTGGACTTAACCCATTACCTGCCAGAGACTGCTGCCCTGTTGTGTGCCACTTGGACTTAACCCTTTGCCTGCCAGTCTGCCACTCTGTTGTGTGCTACTCGGGCTTAACCCATTGCCTGCCAGAGACTGCGCTGTTGTGTGCCACTTGGACTTAACCCATTGTCTGCCATTCTGCCGTCCTTTTGTGTGCCACTCGG